ATATATATATGTATATATACATATATATGTATGCATACATATACATATATATATATATACATATATATATATACATATATATATACTATATATATATACATATATATATATATATATATACACATATATATATATATACATATATGTGTGTGTGTGTGTGTATATAGAAATATATACATATACATACGAAAAAGAAGATGATGCGGACAATAGTTCCTATTTCTCATACTTTTTTGACCATTGCTGTATGCATTAAAAATGCCTCTCCTAAATTGTCATAAGCCTTCCATGGAGATGTATCTGACCTTTTTTCTTTTTTCTTATGCAGTATGAGAAGGAGGCATTGCTGGCATCAGAGCTTGCACTAAAACAAACCAGGTCGCCGACCGAATTCTTTTGTAAAACACTTACTGCGAGTGATACAAGTACACATGGAGGGTTCTCTGTTCCTCGTCGTGCTGCAGAGAAAATTTTCCCTGCTCTTGTAAGGAAATTATGTTGTCATGGATAAATTTCTCACATGATACAGACTTGTCACAGTTCTCTGATAATCCGTCCATTGCAAACCTTTCTTTTTGTATTCTATAGGACTTCTCAATGCAGCCACCTGCTCAAGAAATACAGGCCAGAGACTTGCATGAGAATCTCTGGACCTTCCGTCATATCTATCGAGGTAAGACTAAAAAAAGATTATTTGAAACATCTTTTTAAATGCTTATGTGCATTTTTTTCTTTTAATACAAGTTCAATGAATTTATGTAATTCTTAACCTCTACAACTTGTATTAGAATATTGTTTTCTATGCTTAGTAAAAAAACCTAGTCATAAGACTAAAGTGTAATGACTTGCTGAACATATGCTAACTTTTGCATTTAACATTCAACTTGCCATTCTCGAAAGGTCATGATCTTCTTTGCATGAAATCTAGGTCAACCCAAAAGGCACTTGCTCACCACTGGTTGGAGCTTATTTGTGAGCGGAAAGAAGCTCTTCGCTGGTGATTCCGTCTTATTTATTAGGTAATACCAATCTTAAACATTTAGTATTTTAATTTTTCCAGAATGGCAGACAATAGGCAGAAGATCCCTAAATGTACTTGTGGTTTACCTAAGAAGTGCATTCTCAAGGCATTCGTTATTTTAGTTAGAAATTTATGGTTGTTTCTTTCATTTTTCCCATGACATGATCCCAAGTGCCCTCTTCTCCTTGTTCTTATTTCTTTCTGCGTTTGCTGTTAACAGTGGATGTTTACAGCAGGAAAAAATTATAACTTAGTTATCTGTATTTTAGACAAAGCTTATAAGTTTCTTGTTATTGTTGTCATGAGCAGGGATGAAAAACAACAGCTTCTTTTAGGTATTCGGCGTGCTAACAGGCAACCTACCAGCATATCATCATCTGTCCTGTCAAGTGATAGCATGCATATAGGCATTCTTGCTGCTGCAGCCCATGCTGCAGCAAACAACAGCCCATTCACTGTATTTTACAATCCAAGGTAGGTCTCCCCCATTAGTAAAGATATGTAGTATCCATCTGAAAATGGATCATCAACAACTTTGTGCTGATTAATTGTTAACTTTTACATATATCTATTATACCTTGCAGTGGTAAATTAATGTCATTCTGCAGGGCCTGTCCTTCAGAGTTTGTTATTCCTTTTGCAAAATACCAGAAGGCAGTATATAGCAACCAAATATTCCTGGGTATGCGCTTTCGTATGTTGTTCGAAACTGAAGAATCAGGAACAAGAAGGTAAGAAGTAGGATTCTAGTTAAGCCTTGAAAAACATGAACAAACAGAAGTAATGTTTAAAGCCAATAAGATGATTTTAGATTAAATAGGTTAAAAGAATAAAAGACAAAAGGAAAGAGACATGTAATAAAGAAAAGAAATATAAATTAAGAGAAGATGAAGAAGAAACAGAAGCAGAGAATTGGATAGCAAGGAGTATCATAGGGTTGCTCACATAAATGGAGATGGCTGCTTGATACCCTAGCTCACTTTAAAAAATGAAGGCAGGAAACAAGGGAAGTATCCAATGGATTTCTGGAGGAGACTACTTGATTTTTCTAAAATTGGTTCACCATGAATATTGTCACTTTCATTTTATTGACTACCCTTTAAATGTATCTATAATTTAAAAGTACAGAATATTGGTAACCTAGACTATTCTTTTGTTGCCTACTTGGTGGCTCCTATTGAAGTTCTAATTCAGTTAGGCAACCACTTGTGGCATTACTATTCCGGCTTCCCTCTCGCATTTAAATACTGAACCGGACTTCCCTGTTAAGAAATCGACAACTAATTTCTTATTTAACTTATATCCTTGATATTTATAGCACTTTGATCATAGAGCTCTAATATCAGATAAAAAATGTAAACTTGCTCTATATTTCTGCAGGTACATGGGTACCATTACAGGCATTAGTGATTTGGATCCTGTAAGGTGGAAAAACTCACAGTGGCACAATTTGCAGGTTCATTTTGTATATATATCAGTTATCTGCATGCTTTAGATCTTGAGTCCATTTAGTCTGAGGCTTTTGGTCTAGTTCATCATTTGTAGTGTTTACTAATTTGCTTTTTAGGATTTAATCTTTTACAAATAGTATTTTGCATTACTGACAGGTCGGATGGGATGAGTCTGCAGCAGGCGAGAGACACAACAGGGTGTCCATATGGGAGATTGAACCTGTGATAGCTCCTTTCTTCATCTGTCCACCATTTTTTCGCAAGCGCACCAGACAACCAGGAATGCTAGGTACTTGATGTATAATTTATAACACAGAAACCTCTCTATAAATGGTTTAGAATCTTTAGATCATTGAAAAACCAATTACTTGTCTTAGCTTTTAAGCAATCTTTTTTTTATTCAGTCAAGCTTCAGGATAGCCTTACATAAACTTTTTCCACTAATATTGAATGGGTTTGGCATAACAAAATATAAGAAACAAAATTTCATGATTTAGCAATATTTGGCAAGAACCAGCTGTTATTGAAGCAGAAACACAAGGCTCTAGATGGTGAGAGGACATTGGTTATAATTATAGATGCATTTTTATCATTATATTTGAGAACTAGTGTACCGAGCTAGCTTATCAGGCAGTTTTTTTTGTGTAATTATCAGTATGCTGAATTGTCAGTTGATTTTGTAGACGATGAATCATCAGAAATGGAAAATATTTTTAAGAGGGCAATGCCTTGGCTTGGAGAGGAGACCTGCATAAAGGATTCTGAAACTCAGAGCACTGTAATGCCAGGTCTAAGTTTAGTTCAATGGATGAACATGCAACAGAATCCATCCCTTGCTAGCCAAACCCTGCAAACAGAATATTTGTGCTCCCTTGCTGGACCTGTCCGAAACCTTGGTACAACTGATCTTTCTAGGCCATTGGGTTTGCAAGCTTCAAAGTTGCAACAGGCAAATATGCAGTTTAATGCTAGTAGGATGAGTCAACAAGTTGAGGAACTTGCTAAATTGTCAATCCCACTGAACCAAGTGGGTGCTGTTAGTAGACAACAGATGCAAGATCTATCTTTGCAGCAGAAGCAGCAATTGGTCAACCAAGCAGTACCATCTGACGAGAGACAGAACAACATAATACAGCCTCAAGTACTGATCCAGATTCAATTGCAGCAACAACAGCACCAGCCACAGCAAGAGCCACCGACTATGATACAGAACAAGGAGTTATTACAAACCAGCCTCCACCAGAATCAGCAACAACATCCTCAGCAACTGCTTCTGCAGCAGCAAAAACAACAGCAGCAGCACCAGGACCAGCAACTTGAGCAGCAATACCAGCCACAGCCAAGTAGGATTCTAGCAGTGAATCAACAGTTATCTGATCAACAGCAGTCATCATTTTCACAGCCCCGAATGCAACAACCTCCATTTCCTCAAATTCAGGAGTCCCAAAAAACTCTCCCAGATGTACTACAGCAGTTATTGAACTCCCATTCACTGGTTCAGCAACCAATGATTCCTCAACCATGTCCAAAAGCTACTCCTGCAAGGCTACAACAGTCTTCGCCCAACCAGTCACAGCAAAAGCCTCAACAGCAGCAATTTCTACTAGGTGACTTATCCGGGGCTATCCTTCCTGCTATACCAGCAACCAATTTGATCCCTGCTTGTGGCAGCTCTTTGCTAGCAGCTGAAGGGACACAGTCAGGATTTACCAACGACAACCCATTTTGCTCCACATCACCTTCAGCAAACAATGGAGCTATTCTTCCACATTCAATTTTAAATGGGATTCAAAACTACACTCTCGAGTCAACAGAGAAGACATCTCAGTCAGTTATTACAATGCTTGGTCCAACCTCCGTTGAAAATGCTGCAGCAATACCCAACATCTCGAAGGAGTTTCCAAAAGCTGTACACAGTATGAAGCCCTTGACCCCATTTTCCAAGGTGCAAAATCAGGGTGTCATTGCCCCTCAGACATGTGTAGGCAACACAACACAAATGGATTACTTGGACACAACCTCTTCAGCAACTTCTGTGTGCCTATCCCAGACTGATGGACCATTACATAAAATTTTCCCTCTCTCTTCTTTCAATCAACCATCAATGCTCAGGGTTGCACCTACATATGGTGATGTCCAGGGCACAGATCCAGGAGATAATGTTCCCTTTGGAGATAACATCGATAGCTCATTGGAATTACCTTTGACCATTGATACTATGCTGGCAAACAGCATTGATTCAGGAAAGTATCAGAATCGTATCACTAGGGATGTAGTTGCCAACTATAATGCCTCAAAAGATGCTCAACAAGACTTATCATTATCCATGGTATCACAAGCATTCGGAATTCCAGACATGGCATTTAATTCTATAGATTCAACTACTAATGAGAATGTTTTCTTAACTAAAAGCTCGTGGACACCAGTGCCGCCACCACTTCAGCATATGCGCACTTACACTAAGGTTTGTGGTTTTAGCTTAGGGAAGCTATGTATTTTGTTTTTATGAGTACTACCACATAGTGAATTGATTGTCTCTGCTATTCTGCTAAATAATAATAATAAAAAATGGATTAATTTTTGTGTTGTTCTTTTCTTGATCACTCTAGAAACTAAGTGATTTGTATTACTTGCATAATGCTGAGTGGGCCACCCTAAGAAAATCTTGTCAAGTATAGCATAAAAACGAAGCAAATCATACCAGGATAATTAGATATGGTTTTTTCATTTATCTTCTACAAAGATTGCTGGAATATTTCCAGATGCTGATCAATTCCATAATCATATTTTTTGTCAGTAGCAATTGACACCAAAATAACGTAATCCAAGGGCATATCCATCTATGGTTCCATGAGCTTAAAAATGTGTTGAAACTGAAGGCGTGTGCTGATGGTTGTAGAAGTGATCTAACTTTTCATGGTACCGAAATCTGCCATGCTTAAATGTATATTGAACTGGCTGTGCAGTTCATATTGATCTAATTTTTTATATTTTCTTATCATCTAAGATTTGCTTCTTGGTCATATCAAAGCCGGCTTTTTTTTTTTTATCGTTTCTCTCTCATAACCTAACAAGTGGTAGTGTTTTTAGGTATACAAGCGTGGAGCTGTTGGCAGATCGATAGATATCACACGTTACTCAGGCTATGATGAGCTGAAATATGATCTTGCACGAATGTTCAGTATAGAGGGACAGCTGGAAGATCGACAAAGAATTGGCTGGAAGCTAGTTTACGTAGATCATGAAAACGATGTTCTACTTGTTGGAGATGACCCATGGGAGTAAGTTATGGCATGTCCTTAAGCAATATATTGTCATCTTTTGGATAAAAGAAGCACTTTACTCTATGATTTGTAAAATTGAAGAAAAACTATATTAATGAGCGAAGATCTAGGAACCTCTGTAGTCATTGTGGTGTAGGAGGCATACCCGTGAAAAGAAGATGGGTGATGTCATGACCCATGAGAGTAAACTATATCATGACTTCTTAAGTGTTCCATTATATTTCCCTAGGACAAAATGACAGTACTTTCTATATCTTCTGAATATTTGAAAAAAATTAAAATCAGTAAGGATCTTAAATATTTCCCTAGGACAAACTATATCATGACCTCTGTAGTCATTGTGGTGTAGGAGGCATGCCCATGAAAAGAAGATGGGTGATGTCATGACCCATGAGAGTAAACTATATCATGACTTCTTAAGTGTTCCATTATATTTCCCTAGGACAAAATGACAGTACTTTCTATATCTTCTGAATATTTGAAAAAAATTAAAATCAGTAAGGATCTTAAATCATCTTTTAGAAAATGCAAGGTTCTTTCTGGGACAATTAGATATTTGTTGTTTTCTTCCCACTTCTATATGTAATAATAATGCAAAGTTCTAATGTGATAGGTCCTTTTAGTGATCAAAGTGCTCCAATCATAACTTTGTTATTTTTTGAGTGAGACAGTAATTTAAGTTATGTTCTATTAGTTAAGTAAATAAGAGCATGATAAAAAATTGAGTAAAATTAAAACGAAAATGCTAAATGTAGTACCTTCACTATCTGGTTTATAGCTTTCACACTCTGAAATATAGTAAGTTAATTACTAAACCATCAAAGCAGAAAGATCATGACAATGTTGTGACCAAGCATGATCACTTCAATGTGCAGGGAGTTTGTGAACTGTGTTCGGTGCATCAAGATATTGTCTCCACAAGAAGTACAACAGATGAGCATCGATGTTGATTTGGAAAACAATAGCCTCCTAAATCAGGCTTGCAGCAGCTCCGATGGTGGAAATGCCTGGAGGGGCCACCATGATCAGAACTCAGGCAACCTCTCAGCTGGATCGTATGATCATTTTGAATGATAATATAATCATTTGGAATGACTAACTGATCATGCGGTGAAGCTGATTTCAACTTTTGTTGGCCATCGTGCCTGGCATTCCATATGAAGATCGTCTAAACGATGATGATGAGTGGAAGTGTCCATCGTCCAAACTGCATAATGATGGCGAAAAGCCAATATCAAAAAGCAGAAGCAGCTACACATGACAAACCTCACCCATTATTTTTGAATGGAGATGAGAAATTGTGGTGGTGAGTTATCAACTCAACAGAACTGGTAGGATCCATCAGGGGCTGCAGTTTTTCTATATTAAAGATCATGTACTTAAGTTAATGTCAGTTCCTTTTTTCTGATAGTGAAAGCTTCAACATTTTCCTAATCTGTATGACATCTCAAACAGAAATTTGGGGGAAATGAGCAGAGTTACTGATCCATGAAGATATTTGCAGAGCATGTGTATGTCAACATAATTGTAACTTATTGCCCTCCCTGGTGATGTTTTTTACTTGTTCAGAGGACCTATCCACTTAATCATTGAAGATAAAAACTGATCAAACTCTGAATATTGCATGACAATAGATGCCATCTAATGTTGCTATTCTTGAAATTCGTATCAATTGGTACACACATTGTGGCAATTTAATTGTTGCGGAATATATTACTGAATGTAAAGTTTGGTTCCCCTCTTATTTTGCTATTTCGCAATCACATTCTTCTACAGGCACTTAAAGAATGGAGAACTAACTCTGTTTTTCTGGATTTTTGTGTCAGAAATGCTGCCTAGAATTTGAAGTACAGTTGAAGTCATAGGCAGAAAGGATGTGAGTTGACCTAATATTTCAATGATCAGTGACATTCTCAATATATTGTTACAAGTTATACATATGTCATATGTTTTAAGGTATCTGTCATACATCAGGAAATATTCCAAAGTGGTCATGTAGCATTTTGAAGTATCCATACTTGATACTTGGCCAGTGGTAACATATCATTGTTGTGTACTGAATTAGGATGGTTGAAGTTAGCCCTTAGAATCTTGCAATCAATGCTATCTGAAAATAAAGTGAATGTCTTGCTCAGAAGAACTCTTTACGTTTAGCAAAATGGTTTAGGTATACATTAGTGCTCGCTTAAAAAGACTGTTGTATCTGAAGTTGTTTAACTTGCATAAGCCAGTAGCTGTCCATCAACAAATGAAGGTTTGGAACAAAAGAAATTATTCAACAGAGGGGACAATAGTTTACATGTTTCATCAGGAACAATTGTTGATTTGCTGAACTATTGTTTTGAACTTTGGTCTTTCAGGTCGCAAAGGAGTAACCTTACTAAGGTCTGACCTTATTCGAAATCGAAACTTGGTGCTGAAAAGGAAAAAAAAAAATAGTGTGTAACTTCATGAAGTAAACATATTTCGGCACAATTTCAGAATCTGCTGCCTGCTTCTCATCTCCTCAACAGAGGTATGTTGGATGAAGAACTCTAGTCTTTATTGTTTGTGGCTACTGCATTGAACATGCTGATGCCACTATTGGAAACTGTCTTTAGCTATGAGGCCAGCTTTAGCAGCTTGATCATAAAGGTGCCTGCACAAACAAAAATTAAATCAAACAAGTTTGCTGAACTAGCAGTCATACTAATTAATGTAGTAAGGCAAGTTTCAGATAAGTTATACTGTCACCTTATTCTCACAGCACACTGGATTTTCTTCCTGTGGCTGATGATTCACTTGAGTGGATAGCAAATCCATTTTGTGTCAGCAGTGGATCACTCATAAATTCCTGTCAAATAAATATTAAGATGAGTAGGTCCAGGTCTCCTCATGCCATATATTTTTTCAAAGTTCACTCAAATCATTTCACTAGTAGTAATACTATGAGAAAATTGTGTAGGTTTGCTCTCAAGGATAAGCTACCTTGGACACAGCTACTCATGTGCATTTTATAGTTTCTGAATCTTCTGAATACTTCAGAAATTTGTGTTGGAGAAAAGGGTTTCATAGACAAATTTTGTCGAGCATTAACAAGATAGCATTGTCTCATAGCAAATCCATGTTCAAGTTTTGTCTAATCTAAATGACTTGCAGCATCATTCTGTTGATGAAGATTTACTTGAGACCCTTTGCCAATTCCTATAACATCATTGTTAATAGTCATTCTACGACTCTTGATTTGGTGATTACTTTTCTCTTTTACATGTAATTATGTTTTTTTATTTTATTTTATTGAGAATGCATCAAGTAAAGCAATCAGTATCTATGCAGTTCATGTTCTTTACACATGCATTACTACTACAGTGCTTTTCGGTACCAATGAACTCGGTGTCTACTTTCGGTTCTCATCACCGACTCACCTGCATGGAAGCTTGACTGTTGAAGGGCGAGCTCTGAGTACTGTATCGCTGCGTGCAGTTCGCCAAGCTATCTTCTCCGAGAGCACTTAGCCACTGCAGCTCTGGCAACACAACCTTTTCGAGATCTGGTCGATCCTTCCTTCTCAGCTCTGTGCACTTGAGTGCCTTCTCAGCAAGCCGCTGAGCAGCCTCCACCGGCCAGTCCGACTCCGCAGGATCCAACACTTCGGCGAATGTTCCCTGCTCGATTGCGCGGCTCACGAGGTGCGTTAGCCCCATCGGAGGCTTCGCCGTGATGATCTGCAGCAGCAGAACCCCGAGCGAGTATATGTCGGACTTCACCCCCAGCATGCCCGTCTGCTGGTACTCGGGATCGATGTAGCAGAAGGTTCCGGCCGTGGAGGTGATCCGGTACTGCGTGACGCTGTCCGCCACCGACGGGGGGACCAACCGGGCGAGGCCGACGTCGCCGATCTTGCTCACGTAGTTCCTGTCGAGGAGGATGTTCCCGGGCTTGAGGTCGCGGTGCACCAGTGGCTCCGGCTTCATCCGGTGCAGGAAGAGGAGTCCGGTGGCGATCTCACAAGCGATGCGGAACCTGTGCTGCCATGGGATCACCGGCGAGTTGCCTCGCCGGAAAAGTCTGTCGTCCAAGCTCCCGTTGGCCATGTATTCGTACACGATACAGCCGTACTCCGGGCAGGCACCCAGGAGCAGCACCATGTTCGGGTGCCTGATGCAGCTCAGCACCTCAACCTGCGCAACCAAAGGGAAGCATCAAGGCGAACCTGCAACAGGTATCGGTTTGATCCCATGCTCATCCACTCTGCTTACCTCTTGTTGAAACTGCGACCTCCCTTGAGCTGCATCCGGGCGCAGAACTTTGACGGCCACCGCCGTGTGATCCAGATGGCATTTGTAGACCGGGCCATAGCCACCCTCTCCGATCTTACGATGCTCTGCGAAGTATTCCGTGGCAATTTCGATATCCTCAATGGTGTACTTCCTGTACCTCACGTCCGCACGAGGTGCGGAATCTAAAGGTCTGTTGTTCTCGTGGGCATCTTTAATTGCCATCATCTCTGCATCTACCCTCTTCTGTGATTCTAACTCTGCTATCCTGTTCTCGGCTCGAGCTGTGTCCATTGCCACTCTGCGTCTCGCCTTCTCCTTCTCCACCGAAGCCACGGCAGCTTCCTCTGCCATTTGAGCTTCGTACAGCCTCTTCTGCTCGTCCACTTTCCATCGCTGGAGCTCCATCGCCTGCAGCAGATCGTGGCCAGGTGAAGAAAGTTCATCTCTTGCCGATGAGTATCGAGTTGGAGACGTATGGATGTAATCTGACCTTTTGTTTGGCTGAGAGTGCTTCTTTGCAGGCGTTGTTGTACATGTCCATGGTGTGCTTGAGCTCCAGCCTCAGCTTCTTCATCTCATCTTCTACGTCCTCCTGCAAGCCAATCGAAAGAGTCGGTCAGCAGATGGAGTCTCATCGCGAGATCTTGTTGACGATGTGGTTACCATGGTTTGTGATGACCACGAGGTTCCAGTGCTGCCCTGTGAGAACGAGGAGAACTCGTTCCCGGTGGAGTACGAGTCGGCCGACCTGTTGTTGGGCGTAAGCGCCATCTCGAAGCTGCGGTCGAGGCCGTCTGATCCATTGGATAATCTCGGCGGGAAAGCTTGGTCGATGCTCGGCCTTCCGGAGCTCACGAAGGAGATGTCGGTGTCGGACAACGAGAGATCTGCGATGGTGGAAGCGCGCATTCCCCTGGCATACGGCGACCTGTTTGACAGCGACACACGGTGAACACCCACAAATCCAATTCCTTCGAACTCTTTTTACCTTCTTCTTCTCCTTCTACGTCACAACAGTAAGCTTACTTGACGGAATCGTCATGCTTCATGCTGTGTGTCTCCAGTGCCACCTCGCCTGGCCCTGCAAGTGTCGGCCATTCTCTTCAGCCAGGCGCCTAGTAAAAGCAGGAATGATAAGTGGAAAAGGGGGCGGGGGGCGGGGAAGAGGAGACAAGACGCACCATTGGGACCGAGCAAGAAGCGAGGGGGAAGGGCATCAGACTTGAGGCTGGCTTCGCTCTGGATCTGAGCACGAAGAGGAGAAACGGCCGGCGCTGGACGCACCGCATTCCGCATGGCGGAAACCTTCCCTTTGCCGATCACGTAGACGGTGCAGAAATCAGGTACCCCCTTGGTGACACTGGCGGAGACATCATGATTCTTGAATCGCCTGAGAGAAAGAAGAACACCGTTTCAGCCTGAGACAAGCTCACGAACACAGTTCTCGGATCTCAAAATGCAGTGGAGATGTAAGAGACCTGACGAATCCACCCTTCGATGAGGCACCGACCACCAACTTCTCTATGGCAGCATGGGAAACAAATTCGATTATGGCCTTGGCTGCATCGACATCTTCCAGCAGCACATCCTTGCAGCGCACCTGTTGACACCATCTTGTCTAAAATTACAGAGATTCGCAGACAACAGCGACTCCGACACAAAAAAGTCTGGCACTCACGTCTTTACGTGTGCAGAAGCAGCGAAACGGAAGAAAGAGCTCCTTCGATTGATGGTCCGTCGGCTCTTTGAAGCCACCATCATCATCTAGGTTGGCAGCTGTAACGCATGAAGCAGTGACAGGATGAGGAGAACATACATGGAAAGCCCAAAGTGGAGCACAGCCATGGCGGAAGAAGGAAGGAAATAAGGAGGGGGTAAAGAGATGGTAGCTCACATGGTTGGCTGGTGAGCTTGACATGGATGAGGGTGAGGGTCTGGCCCCTGGCGAGAAGGTTGTCCACTGCCCATTTCAGAGCGTTCTGGCTTCCTTTGTCCTTGTCAATGGCCACCGCCACCAGTGGACATCCTGCATCAACTTCCATCTGCTCCGGGTTCCTGCGACAGTACATTATGCTCGCCTTGTCTTCCTCTTCCCCGTCTCGAAGTTCTTGGCCTCTGTTTGATCCAACCTTCGAGAGGAAGAAGAGCAAATAGTAGGCAATCTTGCTCTCAGGTACCAATGATAGTATACCACTTTTAACTGTAGGGTCTGCCATGATTTCAGGTTTGCTCTGCATTTATTTGAGTCTTTGACTACTATTTCTCTTCTCGCTCAATTTTTGGCCGATTGACCATAATGTAAAAAATATTATAATTAGACAGATTCACTCTATTGACCGATCTATAGAACAAACTATGAAAAGGAAGGGAAGAAAAAAAGATAAATGACTAAGTATATTTCAGATATTAGGTAAAAATAAAAATACTATTAGGAAACTCTAAAAATAAAGATACTTTTTTAAAATAATTCAAAAGAAAGAGGTTTTTTTTTTAAATTTGCCCAATCAATCATCATTTTACGATTAATTATAAATTATCCTTGTAGTTAGTTATCTTTAATATCTTAATCCCTCTATTTTAAAAAAGTTATATTGACATAGTGAAACATTTAATCTCGTTTCTCAATGCCATCGACTTTACTAACGAAAGATAACATGTAGAAATTATGCTAAAAAGAGAGATAAAATAATAATTTTATTATCCTTATCATCCAAAGGATATTAATTTCACAAAAGAGTAACTTATGTAAAAGCTTCGTTATCCTCCCTCTAGCTGTCCTCCCCTCCAGCATTATAATTACTAGACTACCAAACATTAAGCCATTTCACCCCTAGTGGCTTCTTTTTACGGAATTCTGCATCGACCTTTCTTCATCGTAGTCATCGTGTTGTCGGCACTACTAGACTGCAACTTTTCCCAGCCTAATTGGTCAGACTCCTATACCACTGCACCTACGCACTTATTGTTGCTAGAGCTAGAGTCTACAATGCATCAGATGTTCGTTTTCGACATCTCAAGCCTCCCATTCTTGCTCCTCGATAGAAAGCGTTCCACCCATCTCCCACCTATACCACTGCACCTACGCACTTATTGTTGCTAGAGCTAGAGTCTACAATGCATCAGATGTTCGTTTTCGACATCTCAAGCCTCCCATTCTTGCTCCTCGATAGAAAGTGTTCTGCTCATCTCCCAGATCTCGTCTTCGTATCATCTCCCTTCCCCGTGGCTTCATCTATAATCCTCTCTCGTAGGTCGTGTTTGGCAGTCTAGTGATCACGGTGCCATAGGGGATGATGAAACTGGAGGGAGGATAACAAGACTTTCATATAAGTTACCCTTATGTGAAATTAATATCTTTTGGATGACGAGGATAGTAAAATTATCTTTTTATCCCTCTTTCTAATGTCATTTTTGTATGTGATAGTACATACGGTACCTTCCATGAGTAGAGTCGACGACATTAGAAGAAACATGATTAAATATTTTATTTTCATAACTATAAAAAATTAATATAATTTTTAAAGTATAAGGATCGAACGCTAAAAATAACTAACTACAAGGGTAATTTATAATTAGCCCTCATTTTAACTAAGAACAGTATTCTCATCGTCCACGTAGCAGCATTATATATGACGTATTGATTTTTGAATATGTGAGTTAATTTAATTAGTAAAGAGTTTGATAGTTTAATTAGTAAATTCTTTTTTATTTATAAAAAAATATTATTTTAGAAGCCCATTCGGTTCAATTCACCGCTAGTCAAACCAGCTTAGTTGAAGGCAATTGAATCAGACCAAAATTGAGATGCCGCAAAGAAATCCTTAAACCAAATTGTAAGCACTCAACACCAATTACCGCGACGATGCCCACCAATGGTCAATGTCTACGTTCGGGACACTAGTGGTAAGGTCGACATTGTTAGCTCTCTCGCCTTAAGCATCGAGCATATAGGGTTCTTACTGGAGAAGGTGAGTGAGGACATTACAAAGGAGATGACCAAGTAGTGGAAGGGCCCTCCAGGTCACCGTGAAGCCCATGCATAATCGCTAGACTGTCATCCCCTTTGCGGATGCCCTCATCACGAAGGCCCTCAAGGAATCGAGTGACCACTGTTGGCTAATTTAACACATCAAATATAGATTAAACATGCTTTATAGACCCAAAGTTGAGTTTTAGAATATTTTCATAAAACTTATTAAATCCACAATAATATATATGAAATCCTACAACAATTATGAAACATATTTAATATAGGAAAGAATTCCTGATGAATCCATCTAAGTATTTTAGTTTAATTGATGAATTAGTCTTCCAATTTCAGAGTATTTCTAAGTACCTTTTGTTTCTCTTTGACGACCGAAGAGAAATATGAAAAATTGATGCGGGGACCATAACCCTATTTACAAAAATACCCCAAGATGTTTCATATTCCTAACTTGTCTCATCATCAAATTAGAAATATAATTGATGGTATCCACACAATTAATTTTTATAATAATTATGCCCCTTAGCCAAGTAATTTTATTTTAATTAGATTACTTTAATTTTGACTAATCAAAATAATGACTTAACACATTTAATTATACATGTGTGACCTAAAAATTCTAACAATCTCGCATGGGGTCACATGTGTATCATTATAAAAATATTATACTTTATAAGCTCAAAACTATTATCATTATTAAATAGGACATACAAAACGATCCCGTCCATTGACTATATTAGTATAGAACCAAATAGTTTTCGCTATATCAATCATACCTAAACTCATCAATGATCATTAATATTAACATAACCAAATAATATATATCAATCATTAAATGCGTAGCATGAAAATTATATGAATATGATACGTACATATCAATTTTTAACTGGTCTAACTTTATCTTTATGAGGTCATTAATAACTTTAATAGCCATAATATATTAAGTATAATAAACTAAAGTTTTATTTCTGATCAGAAAATATCTATACAATTATAGAATTTAGCATAGAACATACAACAAACATATGACAAACTCCCACTAAATTAAAGTTTCCTCAAATTCTAATAAACCCACATGAGCAGTATGCTCATGAAAAACCTTGGGTGACATACTTTTTGTGAGAGGATTTACCAATATAAAATTTATCCCTAAGTGTTCTACGAAAATTTGTCTATATTGTACCATTTCTTTCATAACTAGAAACTTAATATCAATGTGCTTTGACTTAGTCAAGCTCCTATTATTATTAGAGTATAGAAAGCTAATTTATTGTTACAATATATCTTTAGTGGTCTTTCAATCCCTTGTATTATTTTCAACCTTCTGACAAAATTTCTTAGGCCAATTCCATGATTGGATGCCTCAAAACATGATACAAATTATATTGTCATGGTGGAAGAAGTAATAAGAGATTGCTTGGTACTATGCCACGAAATTGTCCCACCAGCCAATAAATGTAGCCTGAAGTGGATTTTCTATTGTCTTGGCATCCAGCAAAATCAAAGTCAGAATACCCAATGATCTCCAAATGGTCTGATATCTTATATATGAGCACATGATCTTTTGTCCTCTTTAAATATCTCATGACTATTTTGGTTGCCTTCCAATGATCCATTCCAGGATTGCTTAATTATCTTCCTAACACTCCAACAATATACGCTATAGCCAGATGCATATAAACCTATACATACATTAGACCCACTATAATTGATGCATAGGGAATCTTTTGTATTTCTTGAGTTTTTAGATTTCTTTTAGGGCACTGATTAAGACGGAACTTGTCTCCCTTTCTGACAAGGGTGTCTCTTGGTTTACAATCATAGATGCCAAACTTTTTGAGTATCTTATCGATATAGCTCCTTTATGATTATCTTAGAATACCCCGAGATCTATCTCGGTGTATCTGGATTTCTAATACATAATAGGCATCATCAATATCTTTCATCTCAAAATTTCTAGATAAAAATCTCTTAGTTTTGTACAATATGCCTATATCATTTGTGGCAAGCAAAATGTTATCCACATATAATATCGGGAAAATAAATTTACTGCCACTAGACTTGTGATACACACAATCATCAACTGCATTCATCTCAAAACTAAATGAAACAATTACTTGATGAAATTTATGATACTATTGACGAGATGCTTGTTTTACCCTATAGATGAATTTTATCAATTTACATACCATTTTCTTTGGGTCTCCTGATACAAAGTATTCTGGTTATACCATATAAATTATTTTATTAATATTTCCATTGAGAAACACTATTTTGACATTCATCTGATGAAGCTCCAAATCAAAATGTGCGATTAAAGACATAATTATTCTAAAAGAGTCATTCGTTGAAATTGGAGAGAAAATATCTTTAAATTTAATCCCTTCCTTTTGAGTATAGCCCTTTGCCATAAGACATATCTTATACCTCTTCACATTATCATTATAATCCCTTTTTGGTTTTATGAATTCATTTATAACTAATGTGTTTCACACCTTCTGGTAATGAGATAAATTCTGAAACTTTATTGTCTTGCATGAACTTATACTCTTGATTCATTGCTTTAATCTACTTATCCGAATTGGAATCCTCTATGGCTTGACAGAAGTTGATTAGATCATCTTTCATCATACCACTACTTTCTTCATGTTCCTGGAGAAATTCTATATAATCATCCAAAATGACACTCCTCGTTACATTAGTGGATTATCGCAAAGGTGCTGGCTCTTATGGCACAGGTTCTTGTGGATGTTGAGTTTGTTTCTTGTGAATAATTTTCTCATATTGTATAGGAGCTGAAATGACTATATCCTTTTGAGGTACTAAATTTGCCACATAAGTGGCAACTATATGAATTGGATCAAACTGAACCAATTCTTCCTCATAGGTAAAGTCTTTAATCTTATTTCTTCCTCTAAACTCAATATCCTCAAAAAATATAGCAATACCCATCTCAAAAATATTTCTTAATTTGGGATCATAAAATTTGTATCCCATAGATCGCTAAAAATAACCAATAAACTAACTACTCACTATTCGAGGTTCCAATTTTTTTTTATTAGGCCTATAAGGCTTTGCCTCAGGTGAACAACCCCATGCACGAAAGTGTCTTAGACTAGACTTTCTCTCAATCAAAAGCTTATAAGGTGTTTTTGTAATTGCTTTAGTTGGTACTCTGTTAAAAATATAAGCTGCAATCTTTATTGCTTCTCCCAAAGTGACTCTAGCAAAGTAGATTGAGAAATCATACTTCTTACCACGTCCTTAAGTTGTAGTTTCGTCTTTCAGCTATTTCATTCATGCTAGGTGACCTTGGCATTATATACTAAGGGATAATCCCACACTCCTCTAGGTATAGAGAAAATGGTCCTGAACGTTGTTCACCTGAGCCGTCATTTCTATCGTTACATTCCCATCTGATGCTTTTTATCATTTTGTTGAGTTGATTTTCAACTTCAGCTTTAAATGATTTGAATACATCTAAAGACTGAGATTTTTAATACATGTATCCATATCTAAAGTAATCATTTATGAATGATATAAAGTATTGTTGGCCATTCCATGAAGGTGTAGGAAATAACCCACAAATATTCATATATATCAATTCTAAGATGTCTATAACTCTATATGCACCTGATCTCTTAGGTTTGATTTGTTTACCTTTAATGCATTCAACACAAACATCTAAACCTGATAAGTCAATGAGATCAAGAATCCTTTCTGACATGTCTTTCAACTCTATTTCTAAAGATGTGACACAAACATTTGTATCATAATACACCCGAATTTTTAATTTTATATTTAGTACCTCGCAATTCCATATTAAGGGATTCATGATAGGATGTTACAGTGTCAAATAAATATAGATTGTCATAAGCCATCGGTGAACCAGTTCCAATCACATTTGAATTTAAAGATAAAGTAAATTGATTGTTTCCAAATGAACAAGGATAACTAGATTTGTCCAAATAAGAAACAGAAATCAAATTTCATTTAAATGATGGTATAAAAAAAAGTATCTTTTAAATCCAAATAGTATCAAGTATACAAAAACAATCTAAATGTGCCTATAGCTTCCACATTTATCAATTTTTCGTCCTCCACATAAATGCATTTCTCAATATCATTGGACCTTCGGTAGCTCAAGCAATCCTGCATTAAAACACTGATGTTAGTAGTTGCATCAGAGTCTAACTACCAAGTATTTTTGGGTACTGAAGTTAAATTGACTTCAGAACAAATCAGAGTAAGGAACGATTCTTTTTTAGCACGCCAAATGTGATATTTAGCACAGTTCTTCTTCAAATGCATAGATTTCTTGCAGAAGAAACAAGTATCATCTTTATTTTATTTCTTCTGTACTGGACCCTTACGACCTTATTCTTTTTTTATTTATATTTTCTTTTCTTGCCCTTGTCCTTAGAGGTGCTAGTCAAGTTGGCACTTTCTGTCTTTTCTTGCTTCAACCTTTCTTCTTCTTGCACACAATATGAAATGAGCTCATTAAGAGATCATTTGTTTTTTTTGACAGCTATAACTGACCTTAAACTAACTGAATTGTGTAGCAAGAGATATCAAAACCAAATAGACAAGTAAGGCCTATGATAAGCCAAGCTTTAATGCTTTTAAGCTTTAAAACAATATTAGACATCTCCATGATGTACTCCATTATATTTCCTTTATCGTTGTACCTCATATAAATCAAGTTTTAAAGTAGAGTGCTTGTTTCTACCTTATCATTTTTAACAAAACACTTTTTCTATTTTGACAAGAAAATCTTTGGCTTTGGTAATCCCTTCGGATACCGCACCCCTAAAGGCTTTCAGAATGTTTCGCTTAATGATCATGAGACTCATGCGATTAGACTTGTCCCACTTTTTATATAGTTTCCTTTCATCATGAGTACTATTTTCTGTAAGAGAAGCGGGTTGGTCTTCCCTTAGTGCAAGGTCTAGATCCATGCAGTCCAAAACGATCAGAATATTTTTTTTCCAATCCTTAAAGTTGGTTCTGTTTAGAACTGGTATGAACTGAGGTTAACAGATATTGTTGTAAGAGAATCTTAAGATACCAAGTGCAATATTAATATCTTGTCTTTAGATTTCAATATTAATTGCTAGTGGTAATCTTGTTAATATATGTCAAATGATAAATCCATCTTTGGATTGATTTATTATTTACATATACAATTTTATATTTGTCACTTGTCAATTTTAATGTATTATTTACATATACAATTCATTAACCTTCTTTTGAGTCGAATAATTATCGCATGAATATAAATATATACTATATTTAATATTTTCATAAGAAATGAGATGTCACTTTGGTAATTCATGCATTAAATTACTCAAACATTGACTAGATATAAGCTATTCGATTTATGTCAAAAATCAATTTTATAGAACCAATATTATGTTTAAACCAACTATTATTAATTAAATTTGCTTAGATAAAATCCAATGACATTAAAAAATAATAATATTAATAATAATAAACTGAAAGACTCACCGCAGCAAGGAAGTTTATGAGGTTTATGCAGAATAGTATGTTGCGCATACGAGGAAAAGATGGAAAAGAAAAAAAAACATCTCAAATTATGCTGTAAAGACACGAAAAGAAAAAATCATAAAAAATTATACTGCATATTGTTGTGCATATTGTGAAGAGGAAAAGACATGAAAAAGAAAAGGCATATCAAATTGTGAAGCATAGATTACATAAAATCATCATCTTCTCCGATGATGATAGAATCGAATCATGCCAAAATACTGATGAAAAATATCATTCAAATATATAAAAAACAAGTCTAGATGTTGATGACTCTGATATCATGTGTTGATTAATTTAATAGATCAAACATACTTTATAATCAAAGACGAATTTTAGAATTGTTTCTATAAAATTTATTAAATCCATAATAATATACATGAAATCCTACAATAATTATGAAACATATTAATACAAAAACATACCTGATGAATCAATCTGAGTATTTTGATTTAATTAGTGAATTAGTCTTCAATATCTCTAAGAATATTTTGTTTCTCTTCGGCGGATGAAAAAAAATTTTAAAAATTGATATCGTAATTGAAAACCATAGTCTAGAAATATTTCAGAATATTTTATATTTCTAATTTGTCTCATCGTCAAGTTAGAAATGTAACCGATGATACTCACAAAAATAAATTTCATAATAATTATATTTCTTAATCAAATAATTTTATTTTAATTAAATTATTTTAATTTTAACTAACCAAAATAATAGCTTAATATAACTTAAAAATTCTAACAACCGTAAGAAGGCAACAACTGGATCGCGCGGGTCATGCGGATACATGGCCAAGCACCTCGCCAGCACCGCAAGGGAGGATTTCACCACGCGCCTCCATCGGGTGCACGTCGAACGGGAAGGACGACGGCGAATTCGAGGTGCCGCTCTCCGCCGCCGCTTATGTCGCTGTCAGGTTGCCTTTGGACTCTTGTCTTCTTCGCTTTTAGCTGTTTCCTTTTGCAAGCTGCATTTTAGGGTTATCGATATTTGCTCTGATGATGCATTGGTCAAACATCAACAATTTTGCAATCAGAATGTGATTTCGATGAAAGGATTATTTCTCTGTTAATTGATTCGATTGATGTCAAGATTGGATTTTTATGGATCGACTTTGATTTTTCATCGTGAAATTTGCATACAGTGAACTGTGGTCAATTGCAAGCTTGCGAGTTGCGATGCTAAAGATGTTTCGTAGCAGCTCGGAAGCAAGTACAGTAGTACACCCTAAAAAGCTTCATCCAAACAGGGAATTTGCCAGGTTATTTTCTTCATATGCAAAATCAAAATCATCATTTGAGGGTTTCCTGCTTGGCTGATGAAATTACAGAAATTTTTTGGTATTTTTTGTTGAAGTTGATTATTCCGTGCCGTTGTTTCTTATGCTGTTTAGTTATGATTGAATTGGATATGCATATCATGTTTTGTAAGAGAAAAATGATGATTTAATTCTAGGAATGCCTGATCTATTTAGAACTCTTGTTAAGCTACCTCATCGTGCCATTTGCATGCATAGAAGCATCGATACCTGTGGTTTAATGAATCTTCTCATCTATGTTCTTTCAAGGAAAGAAATCAGCTTCTCATCTACTTGTACAAACCATCTCACGATGCCATCAGGCATTTGTGCTTGTTTGCATATAGCTTTTGTTTAGAACTGCATCCCTCCTCCCTTTTAGATATCGGTTTTCTGGTGAGATTCCTTAAGTTTGTTGAATGTTTATATTCAGCAGTTTTGGGGCCAAATCGAGAATAGATTCATATTATAACTATGAGAAGTGAGCATCAAAAGGAGCTCAAAGCATTCGAAAAAAGTGTTTGGACCCTAGAACATGATTCTGTCATGATCCTAGCACCTGTAACTCTCCACACTGTTAGAGAAGAAAGCCAGGCGCCACCAAAAATGTGAATTACCTCATCGTTAAAACCTTTTTTTTTTATGTTACATGATGAGCAAGCTCAAATCAGTCTCTCACTGAACATTCCCTCTGGGGTTGTCAGTTCATATCAACAATTGAAAGATCATCCCCAGTCTTCGCCCCTCCCTCCGTAGGAATGTTTGAGCTGTCTTCGTCTCCCTCCTCTTTCAGCTCTTCGATCCTGTCGAGAGCTGTTTCCAACTCGTACCTCTTCTCAACATTTTCTTCGCAACAGGCCAATCCAATCTGCAACAACTTCAACATCTCTCCCTCGTTCTTCTTTGTTGCCTTCATCTCGCAATCGAACACCTTGCTGGCCCATTCTTCTCGATCGACAGAGTTCACCCAGCCTGCCAAATCGACACCTCCCTTCTCCTGCGGTGAATCAATGATAGAAATCTTACCTGTCAAGATCTCTAAAATCAAAATTCCGAAGCTCCATATGTCGCTTTTCTTTGATGTTTTTCCATGCTGCTTGCACTCGGGTGCCTTGTGCGCCACCATTGACTGTGCAGCATGAGCCTGGTTCATCACTGGCACGAGGGCGTAGTCGGTCAGGAGTGGTTCGAAAGAGTCACTTAGAAGCACATTGGAGGACTTCAGATGGCCATGGGGAACACTTAGCATCTGCAACTCTTCATAGAGGTAATTTAGTCCCTTCGCTATTCCTCTCACTATCTTCAGGCGAGTGGGCCAATCAAGTGCTGCAATGTTCGCGGCACGAAAACCTAAACGGCACAAAATCCACATCAGGTTAGTACTTTGGAAGTAATACCTTTGGCATAATAAACATATGCTAAATACAAACTCTTCTGATTCTTGACACTGGGCCTTGCACTTTAATCTATTCTATGAGCTAGAAATGTGAGAAGAACAATGAAAGATACATAGAAAACCTTGGTTTAGCAGAACTCAAGTAGAAGAGCTTACATTTCTCAAGGTGTGAAGGATGGCAAATTAAGATTACCTGACTCGAAATGTAGTGCTCAAGATTTTGATCTTAGACTTTGTTGATCATCCTGAAACTTCAGCATGCATGCATGCAGTGTTCTGTTTTCATTGTATGCTAGATTTCTACTGGTAGAAGGATTGGCTTACCATGGAGTGCATTGGCCAGACTTCTCTTGGGGACATAGTCTGTGACCATCAACTTCTCATCCTTCCTGTAATAATAAGCCACCAATGGGAGCAAGTTGGAGTGGGACAACCTCCCAAGCCTTCTCATGTGCTCTTCGAAGTCCTCCTTCCCCACCCTGTTCATGTCCCTGAACCTCTTCACCACCATGGATGGGCCATTCGTCAGGGAGGCCTTGTAGGAGCACCCAAACTTGCCGCTCCCGAGGATCTCAGCTGAAGACTTGAGCAGGTCCTGCAGCTCGAACCTCTCCCTGCCTGCCCGCACAAAGATTAGTCTCCCTTGCTCGTGCTCCTTCGGCGCCTTCCTCCCGTTGCTGCTGCCGTCGTACCCTGCCGCCCCTTCCTCTAGCTTCTTTTCCTTGGTCGGTGCCGACTCCGGGTTCTTCGGTGCCTGAAGCTGTGCAACTTGCTCGTCCTGGACTTGGCGATGGCGGGGCATGAGGAACGCCACCGCGAAGATCCCCACGAGCACGAAGATGGCCACGGCCGCGATGACCATGGGTTGCTGGGTCGTTGAACTTTGGGATGAGGACGACGAAGATTGGCATGGAACTTGAAGAGGATCCCCACAGAGGGCCTTGTTGCCTGCAGCGAAGGTGAATGAGATCAGACGAAAAACGACGGGGGGAAGTGAACGTAGAAGGATAGCAATCCTCACCTGCAAACATGTTTGCGTTCATCATCTCGAGGCTATCGGGAATTCGCCCCTCCAGGTAATTGTTCGACACGTTCACCAGCTTCGCCGTCGTCAACCGGAGGTCGGGAATGGTGCCACTGAACCTGTTGTCGTCCAGCCTCAGCTCGAGAAGCTTGGGCAACGCGGCGATGGACGTCGGGATCGAGCCCGAGAACCCGTTGTGGGAGAGATGGAGCTTCTTGAGCCAGCTCATGCCGGCGAAGGCGTTGTCCGGGATCTGACCGGAGAACTTGTTCTCCGACAAGAATATCGCCCGCAGGCTCTCCATCTTCCCGACCTCCGGCATCGGCCCCTCCAAGTCGTTCCTCAAGAAGCTAAGGGTGCGAATCCCCGGCAAGCCCTTGAGGAGGCTGAGTTGGGCCAGTGAGCCGGCGAGGCTCATGTCCTCGAGCCGCAGCCCCGACACGTGGCCGTCGTTGTCGCAGATGATGCCAGCCCAATTCGAGACGTTCTTGTTGCATGGGTCGGAGCTCGCGACCCAGCTCTTGAGGGCGCCGGAGGGATCAGATATGGTGGCCTTGAAGCCGAGAAGCACTTCGGCGTCAGACGAGCTCGCGACGCCGAAGGAGGCGGCTGCGGCGGCGACGACAACGAAGAGTAGGGCCATGAAGAGCGGTGGGAACCGCCGACCGGCCATGCTGCTCACCCGCCGTCCGTCGTGGCTGGTGTTACAGGCCGAGGGGCAGGGGGCGCATGGGATGGGATGGCATGCTTGCCGCGGCGGATGGTGTGGGCCGAGGAGCAGGAGGTGGCAGGGCTGATGATGGGATTTGATGGCAAGGTTTTGAGGTGTGGCGGGGTCGGTGGCGGTGGTGGTGGTCAACGACTAAGAATAGGAGGGCGTGAAGGCGGTGACCCAGGTGAGGTTGACGGAGTCCTTCCCAGGGTTTCACTGGACTTTGAGCTGTCGGTAGAGAGATAGAAGGACTGCCTTCCATTTCTGTGATCCATCTACATGCAGCATGCATTGCATGGAGATGGATTGCCGTGGAAAGGTGGACTCTATTAATAGCTCCTCCATCGAGTTTGGAACCTCTCCAATTACTACGGAGAATTGTGCGTACCCTTTTGACTCTTATTAATGGTTGTTCTCCCGTTATACTTTGGGAATGTGACTAGTGACTGAAGGGCTGGTTGACCCTCATGGATAGATGAGATCTGTCGTTGTGACGTAAGAATGGGTGATTCAAAATTTCCAAATCAACCAGAATGAGAAGACATCTAGTGAGGCTGTTCGTCCGATCATGGACACTTCTCGGTGTTCATCATCTGCTAGATTTAGCTATCTCAATCACATTTGGAATTCAAGCGATTGAACGGAATGAATCCAATTCTTCATATTAATCTGAGTCATACAAGCTGTGTTTTGGGCAAAGAACACGACGTTTGCACACCTGTTTCTGTAGTTGCTTGCATTTATGTGATAATGGTGAAAGCTCTGAGGAAGATTATAGAGAGAACATGTCACAACAAAACACAAAACCAAGCATCTTGTTATGTCAAACGGGAAAATAGACTGAGAAATATACTATAGCTGTTCAAAGTTTGATCCGCCGATCGCGCTTTGCATACAACATGAAATTATTTTCAAGGATATGCCGCTTGCAGATGCAGAAGCGGGATAAGCACAGCAAACTTATTTTGATGCCACTTACCTCATAACAATTGGTAAAATGATGGTATGTGCCTTGATGCGAGGCAATCTTAATGTACAAGTAAATTTTTTCTCGATACTGTTGGTTCTTCAAGTGTTTCTCCCTTTCAGCACAAAATAGCAAATGTGGAATAAAGCAACCGCGGATGGTGGTCTTCTTCATGCTTCTGCTTCGCAGGGACACCCATGAAGAATGAGAATAATCTTTTGCTTTGTTCCATTCAGTTCCGAGAGTATACAGTGAGCCCCGAGGGCAACGTAGGACACTGAAATGTCAAATCATTGCATGCTTCCATGTGGAGCAGAGGGCAGCTGCTGAATGGCAGCCAGTGGGTTCACCTGGACAGAAAATGCTAGCTGCCAAGCATCAACCAGAGCTCTTTTGATCGCTGCGGCTTGTGTAGCGACTGATCTGTAATGGAGAAAGAAACTTGCAGGAGTCAGCAGCAATCAATCGAACTGTATCTCATGCATATGACATCCATAGCGATGAACCGTGTGTTTAGCATACACCAATTTGGTCATATAAGAAGCTCGTGTTGCTAAGGTCAATATATCTAGAACAGACATGCATGAAGTGCAGCTGATGAGATGTTTTCCTTAATCGTGTTTAAATGGAAGAGGTTCACTGCAATAATATGCTTGCATATGCCAGTGTTTGCATGTGATCTTACCGTTTCAGGATTGTGCCTTTCCGACGGAGAATGTAGTATGTTAGAACTATCAATGAGCACACGAGCATTTGTTTCCCACTAGGAAGAACCAAATGAACATTGCCAAATTTCAAATGGATTGTACGGAACCACCAGAAGCAACAACTAATCTGTTCCAAGATGTTCCGAATACTTGGACGAACAGTCTTGAAAAGGCCTCCCATTGATCGCCCCCCAGCAGAGTGCAGTTCTTGTTTCATGGCTTCGGGATAAGCTTCATTTCCACTAAAAGTAGACCCACTGGTAGAAGATGATAGACTGTGTGCTTGCTCTGGCCGTAGACCACCTCCTAAATTTGAATGTGAGCTAGAGTTTTTAGCAGAGACCAATGAGTGCAACCTCCTCAGTAGGACCTACAAAAGAATAAAAAGTCAATGCAAATCCAATGTCTTTAGATAATTCGAGAGACAAAAGGGCTACAACATGAAAGTTTGAGTGAGTATTTTGATAGGACATACAATTTATCAGGGTAGAACTTATTTCATTTTTCATCAAGATATCTCTTGCATGTAAGTTTAAGCTCAAAAGGCACTTATGACAGTCTCTAGTAATGCAATTTGATTATTCTTTCAGCACCTGATATAAGAAGGCCAAGAAAAGGGAATCTTGTTCGAAAGAATCCCTACCATCAGTATGAAGCAACTCTAGAGGCTCATCTTAGTCGAGCCAGCTCAAAAGACTTGATTCTAGAATAATAGTGTGTTTTCTGCTTTTCTTCTTTTGAGGCACTATCCAATGTTATGCATGTCATCCAACTCCAAAAAATTAAGTTTACAGAAATGGCAAGACACCACAAATTCTCTGTAATAGTGGCTATCAGTTAAATCCACATGATCAGTTCTTGGGCCACTTGGCATTCAAGATCAAGTAGAAACCCAACTAAATGACTTACTGAATTTTATTACACCATAATACGAAAGGTAGACATGAATGGGGAATGATAATTTTACCTGACGGCTTTCATCAGGCAACTCTGCTTTCTCTGTCCAGGATATTGCAAGGTCTGGACTACATAAAACCATCCCAAGGACGGTAATGGTGTAAACTTCAGCAATCTCCAAATAATTCTTAGCTCCCATGATAGGCTGCTTCATGCCTACTTTGTCAGAAGAGCTTTCTGGCTCTGCTACTGTCCAAACATAAATTCCACCATCTACATACTTCCACTTGCTGAGGAACTCTTCAAAGATTGCTCTAAGGTTGGATGTAAATCTTTCTGAAATTTGCATGCAAGCCCTACAATTCATTACAGCATCATTTCGAGTGATTGAAAAAAATGAAACTCTATTAAGGTCACCACACATTAACAGGTAAAAAAGCAATGATGAAACGAACTTAGAGAAGTACGAAGGATACAACTGAATAACAGATTTATGATACCCTGTTAGAAACACTTGAACAGGTATGGTTTCCACCGAACCAAACAATTCTCTAAGCTCAACAAACAGTTCCTGTGTCCTGCAAATTTTTGCAAAACCAAAAACGTGTGTTAATACTCATATAAAGACTTGGATATATGTTCATATGTATTGAATATACAACTGCACTTTCAATTTTGTCATTTATTTTTTGCACTGAGTGAGAGTAAATTTGGTATCTTATCTTTCAATTCAAAAAATGAGGATGCACCTTGGATAGGAGTATTCTGAAAAGAAAGATTTAAGTACCTTCCCAACTCTTTCATTGACTGGACAAACACCATACCAGCTGACTCCATCATTTCAGCCATTTGAACATCATCAACTGCATCTGCAAAAGGAGTGCTACGTACACGATGAACTGTTGAAGAAGCAAGGGATGCTGCCTCCTTAAACATGCAACACACCAGATAACTAAGCCATAAAAGAAAATAATTATGAGTGACGTTAAAAAAAACATGATCATTGAAGGGACATATTAAGAGATCTAACAATATAAAAACAAGTATCACAAGTTAAAATTTCAGCAAAACCAAACATCTGTATCAAACATATTGACCGATGGTGCAGTAGTTGATTATAAGGCAAATGTGGCATTACTTCAAACTTCAAAGAGTAGGCATGTCAATCAAATACGCTTGAGCAAACAAATATTATTTTGAGAAGTACATCACCGATATATAAATAAATGCATTCCTCTGAAATAACACTTTGTGCAGCAATTCAGATGTTCACCTTCATCACGTAAAACACCATACTATCCTCATACAAGTCCATGAACTAATATAACCATAAGCAAAGCTTCTTAGCTAAACTTGTACTTGATGAAATAAAAAAAGAAGAAAATCTAGAGACCGATAACAGAAAAAAACTCCACCACCCTCACATCATATATATTGATGGACCAAGTATGCTGGCTCAAATGCATCCAGTGCAAGCACTACAAGTTTGTACAGAAACAAAATTCTATATCTGGGCAAGGAAACCCCAAAACACATAGTGGTTCTTCCATTAGACGAAGTTAAGTTCATCTACATAGGACAGTGCAAGTAATTAGATGCTTAGCTTTTCTAATTAATTATATTTAAGTGAAATTATCAAATGACCTTCTTCTTCCATTAGACAAGAAGTTAAGTTCATCCACATAGGACAATGCAAGTAATTAGATGCTTAGGTTTTTCTAATTAATTATATTTAAGTGAAATTATCTTCTATAATACATTACAATACAAATGACCTTCTCCCAGCATAACAAAGTCAAGAAAAACCCAACAAGCATTTGCTAAATTCCAAATATTCTCATTTAATTTAAATGCATGACTACATGAGGAATTACCAACAGAAACAGTGAACAGGAAGAAACAAGATCCCAACTATCATTTGAAAAATACAATGTGCTATCCCTCTCTTAAAAGTAGAGCAGGAGAAGAGAGAGATTGCTAATTCAGATAAGAAAAGCATACTTGGATCAGGCACCATACAAATATGCACACAAGATAATTATCTTATAAGCTCTTCTAGAGAAGACGATAACTAAAATAATATGAACATACATACAATGAAATGCTCTACTGAAGAATAATATGTAACACAGCATGTGAGCTGTAAGGGAAACTGAAAAAAGAAGGCCCTAAGTAAAATTAATCACTAAATAGAAAAATACAGAAATTCCCTGAGCATCTAAAATAACATATAGGCTATAAAGTACTTCAAATTCCAAATGCTAAAAAAAGGCTAGAAGCATCAAGAAAAGGAGATGCCCTAAAAGGTCAAATCCGGAAGACAAGAAAAAATTGATACGAAATTAACTTAGTATGAATGAGTGTCAGCGGATAGGAATTCCTTCCAAATTAACAGTTGCTGAATATATTTAGCATTAGAAGATTTTTCTCTCATCCATTCTCCTCAATCTTAGCTCCCAACACCACTTTCTACCAGAGTTCAAACTACCTACAATGTTCACGATAACATTCGAAGAGATCATAACTCCATTATTTAATCCTATTCCAAAACTATTCCTGCTCCAATCACAAACATTCAAATCTAAGAACTTCAAAACCTTGATCCTTGCCAACTATCCAGAACTACTAAGCAAACAATCCGTCTACCAATGAAAACTGCATCAATCTGATTGATACAGACATTTCCATACAACTACATAAGATTTTTTAATGGACCAAAAGATTCCCTCTACTGAGTTACAAATGAAGAAACAAGGAACTGAGTTCAACACGAACTCAGTTTCACCGAGAAAAGAAGACTCATGGGGACCTAAAATCGACCAATTCCAATCTGAAGAGACGGTAACAGCTGAGGAACGGCAACAAAATATAATATTTTACCTCTCAGAGAGATCGATTTCATTCCAGATTGCGGATACGGTGAGAAGAGCCATCTCATGCGTTTGCCCTAAGACTCGTCACCACCACCACCACCTCCACCTCTTCCGCCCCTTAAATTTGCGGATTCTTCCTGTCGAATGTTTATTGTCGTTGGATCGGGTTTGTGTAATGTAGCCGGGTAAGATCCGACCCGTTATGACCGAGGGGATAGGTCGGTTCTCTAATGGGGAAAGGAGACACGACGTCGTCTAGGGGGAGATCAGACCAGAGAAGGAGCAGCAGCTTCACCGACGCCGCACCTCGCCGGAACACCCCATCACTGCAACGCCCCGTTTCCAAGGGTTGCTCGACCGAGGCTCCACCTCGCCTGGCTGCAGTTCCTCCCGACGTGCCCCTCCAACGGCACCAACGCCACATATCTCGCCGGATCCCGATCCTTTTCGGTCCCAATCTGCCCCCTTTTCCCCACTATTTCTCCAGAATTTTTTCCTTATGGCAATTTTCTGTCATAATATGTATGTTTCATTTCTTGGCTCTACTTCAATGTAGTTGATTGAAAGAGGGACACGTATTGTTATCTTGGATGATCGTATGAAAAGTGCTAATTTGATTTGTGTTCTTTTGGTTGTTTTGTTCCTACATCTGAGAGTCTTTTCTCTGATAATTACTTGATGTTGTTCTTGTTTGGCGAATGTTTATTTTTGTCTTGGATGGTTTCTGCTTGCTAAATAAAGATTAGGGTAATTTTATTGGATTCAAGCACGGATTTGGGGATCTGGGTGTTTAGAAAACTTGTTAGAACAATCGGTCTTTAGCTATAATGTTTATAGATCAATAATGATCATGGTTCTTTTACATGTCTACTTGAAAGCAACAAGTCTGACCTCTTATGACTTACTTCCTAGACCCGCACAGGCAGCCTTCTCTCTATCACTGTCGATTATGGTAGGTGATATCCACTTTGCTGCTAAGGTGACAACAGTTGCTTGCTAATCATTAGTAGTGTTCTATTCTTTTAGGCCATTAGTTTACTTTGTTTTTTCAATATATTTCTGTAACCGTAGATATTTTTTTTTAATCTCTCTTTTGTCATTTTTAATCAAACCTGCTGGTTGAGAAGTGTCTCAATAATCAAACAACTGGTCTGGTCTATGGTCAGTTTGGTTCCAGTAGCCAATGTATTTTTTTCTTTGATCTACAATAGAAGATAAGCATCCAAGTCTACAGGATATATTGGAGCTTCAATTTGTGCATAACTAGAACCAAGTTGTTGATTTACATCAGAAACAACTCAAATCTGCATTGGGTACTTACGCTGAAGACACTTTATGGTGTATTTTGATTGAATTATGTGGTTTTTTTAGCAGATAAATCTTTTGAACGGGCAAGTTGCTCGGGTGGGGTTCGGTTAGCTTACTTGCAGAGCAATGGATGGAGCAGAAAATGGTGAGCATTCAAGGAAAATGGTCTTTGTGACAGTTGGAACAACATGCTTCGATGCTCTTGTCAAGGCAGTGGATTCTCAGCAAGTAAGAGAAGAGTTGTCAAGAAAGGGGTATACTGATCTTCTGATTCAAATGGGTCGTGGTTCGTACATGCCATCTAAGGTTTCCATTCTTGTCATTCAAATCACCTGTACTGCTTGTACTAAGTCTGTTGCAGTAGAATACATGTAACAGAACTTTGAAACTTTTTTACCATTGTATGTTTATGTTCTCTCTCATGGTATATTTGGTAATGTTGAATAAGATATACAAGCATACTAGAAATATATCCATGGCTAATTTAGTCTCTCTAAGGTACAGAAAAAGAGCATTTTGAATGTGAAGGTGAATGACAATGTCGTACTTATATTTATGAGCATTACCAGCAACATTTGACATGCATGTTATTTTTCGAGTTGCCATCTTAATTATTGCAAAACCCTAGAATTTTATGTACTTGGATAAAAATGGTTTAATATGCAAAGTTTGACAAAAACACAAATCTGGTCAAATACACTATAATGGAAATAGGTATTCCCTATACAAATATTACTGGATGATTTAGATCGTTCGTTGATAGTAAAAGTAGAAATAGTTATTTCTTCTTTTGGCCAATAGGCTCTTAGATTCTACTGGAGGACATTATGCGGATGCATTTATCATTACGTTTATGTGCTACTGCTCCTGCATTTTTATTTACAGGAGACTGGTACACGTGTGACAGGGGATAGGTGGCATGTGTTTTTTGCACCAAGACTTTATTTTATTTTATTTTTTGCAATTATTTTTGTCAAATCTGGTAAAAGTTGGTTGAACTGTTTCTAAAGAAGCTTTTGTGGCATACTCTGCGAGAACATAGTAATAATGCCAGGTTTTTATTTACAGTGTGATTGGTGCAAATCTAAAACATATTTATAATTTTTGCAATTTCTTTGTATGGATTTTGTCCAAGTAAGCTGCTGATGTTTAGTCATATTTTTTCTGTATGCTCTTTTTGACAATATCAATGTTTTTCAAAAAACAGAGGGCTCATTTTATCCTAGTTTTGAAAGTTTCTGTTTATAATCTGCTTAGACAGATGTACAAAAATCACACAATGATTAGACAAATGGTTACTAGCTAGAGTAGGCACCAGACTAACAGTTATGTTTATCTTTGATGTTAAATTCAAATTGTTACGGATTTTTCTTGTTCATTGATGTTGATAGCAACTTGGAATGATACGACAAATGGACAAATTCAGGGAAGAATTTTCTTCAGGTGATACTTGGTATAATTTGTCTTGTGATCTTTACTTTCAGTTTATTATAGGAAACCAAATACGTTACCTGTTTTTGGTAAAGAAAATGATGAACAAATTAGAAACTATGAAACTGAATAAGTAGATAAAATAATAAGATCATTGGAATATGTTGATGTTACAGTTATGCTTCATAACAAGATCAAATATTTAAAATTTTATGGTCAATTATTCATCAATAATAGACCAAGATTTTTCAAATTGGTCATTGTGAAAGGTTCCTGGATAGCTTCCCATGTACTCCGGAAGTCTGTAGATCAATATAGTGAAAGTATCAGATTTGTGGAGTATCTACTGTAGTAATCTGTCAGCGCTGTGTATCTTGAAGTATCCATATTTCATAAATTTATCAAACTTGGATTGGTTGACAATGGTTATTCCTATGTATTTTTTTAAAAAATTGGTGATATATTTACCTTACGCATTTCTTATCTAATTTCTCATATTGGTCTCAAATGTTAATCTAGCCTAAGGACCATTTTGATATCATTCGGGAGAGCAGCAAGCTCATCTCTGTGTGAAGTTTCTGTATTTTTATCATTTCGTTACTTCTCTTCTGTCATCATTCAGCATGTTTCTAGCTTTTTGGAACTTTCCTAGATATCCATGTAAAAACTATCTTGTTCACTGCAGGACTTATGGAGCTAAATTTCTTTCATAATCTTTTCAGTTAGTTTTTTGCCCATCATGATTTTCTATTGATGTGTCTGCTTGCTTAAAGATTCTGTGAGCTTTTGTTCCAAAGATGCTGGATCTTTCTTCAGAAAAGAATATTTATTTGTTGATTTGATCATGCACTTAAATGATTCCTACTGTGCATTTTTCTTCTGAATGAAAAATATTTCGTACTTTGTCTCTTTGCCTTGGAAAAATGGAAGATCTATCTCATGTCATCTAAGTTTTACAGGTTTCAGGGGAAGATGAGCCTCTTACAGTGGATTACTTCACTTTCTCACCAAGCATTGCTGACTACCTCAAATCAGCATCTCTTATCATCAGCCATGCAGGTAAAGTTTCTTCATAACTATGGAGTATTTATCACATAACGATGCTCAGAGTTTATAGTTTTGTTCATTTATAGAAGTCTTGCACAACTCAATTTGGGGTGTGTGCACTGCAACTTGGCATGCATGCCAAGAATTAAACAGTGGGAAGTCGTCAAAAGATTTGCAAGTTAAAATATGTATCAACTGATACATGCTTGAAGTATTCGGTTGTCATCGTTTAGGCAATCATTTGTGCTTGATAATCAACTTGCTTTGATGGTATCTCACCATTTTTGCTCTTATATGTCTACAAATAATCATCACTTATTTTGGATTTCACTGATGTAATGCATGGTGCCTTGAATTACGTAGTACTAGAGTAAAATTGAAATATAAGAGGAGATGCTTGAGCCTTGATCTGAACACACTCCCTTTGGTCTTCAGCTAATTATCTCAAATTTGTTTTTGTGTTGTATAAGTTACTTTTTTCTTGCGATGATGAATTATATTAGGTTTTACAAATTTTGTACAGTTTTCTATGTCCATATGTTGGAAAATCAAAGCCGTTAATGGTTGATGTCTATGAAGCATACTTTGGATGCTGTAATAGGTCTGGCTTGGGATGTGCTGGCTGTTGGATACAAACAGCAAAGTTGACAAACTACTGCATTCATCCTCACATAAATTCACAATGGTTACATCTACATTTAGTCTCATTCTCATACATTGTTAGGGAACGTACAAAATCCAAATCTGAAGCTCAGCTTCTTCCAGAACTTAATAGATTTACTGTTATGCGGAGGAATATGTGATTTTTGTGAAAACTTTTTTTTTTTTTACAATGTTTGAACTGTGTATTCTGCTTGTTTGTGGAGCACAATATATGCATTTTAAAGTTTATTTCTTTGCATGAAGTATGCATCCTAAGTTACCACTAAAAGGTTACCATCACATTTTGAAGTCATTGCAGTATGGCATTCATCTTTGAATGTCCGTTACCCAAGACACGGCATATGAAGTCAGTACTATCTCTGCTGCCTTTAGTTTCAGTCGTTACTCTTTCCAACATTTTGGTTTTCTCATCACTATCGACAATAAAACTGTGCCATTTAGAATGAAATGATCGAGAAACACGATAAAGTTTAACAAAGTTCCTTTGCAGGATCGGGGAGCATATTTGAGACGCTGTGCTTGGGCAAACCCTTGATTGTTGTCGTCAATGAGGAATTGATGGACAACCACCAAAGCGAGCTAGCGGAGGAACTTGCGGAGAGGAAGCACCTCTTTTATGCACGCCCGCAGACCCTCCACCAGACCATCCAAGACATGAGTCCCGAGTCCTTAATTCCTTACTCACCAGGCAATCCCATGCCAGTGGTCAGATTGATGAACAAGTTCCTTGGCTTCCCAACTGACTGAATACTGTGCCATATTGCAAATATTTGTCCACACTTTTGACACTCATTTTAGAGGTTTAAAAATTTTGCTTATGCCCTTACCAAATGTCTCTTCTATTTCAGAAGAAAATTATTGAACTTCCATTACCAAACAATACTTTTTCTATAATTCTGTACTCAGAGACATAAATATTATATGTTCTTAATATAAATTATGCCATGCCCTTGGTTTATTTCACCACCAGTTTAATTTTCTGTCACAGCCCTCATGCTCTATGGAAGTTTGTTCTCTCATGCAATTGCCATAAGGAGTATTGGTGATTTGCTACACATAATCTTTTATTTTATGACAACATTATAAAAAGATCATAACACAAAGGAGCCTCAGATTCCATGATTTGAATCATTAACAAAAGAACTCCTTGTTAGAGAGTCTCATACAGCTTTGACCCAAGTAAAGAGTTCTACTTCTCAACGTATATATTGTATCCATTATTATTATTTGTGCCACACTTTGCATCATTCCGTTGTAGTCTAGTTGGTTAGGATACTCGGCTCTCACCCGAGAGACCCGGGTTCGAGTCCCGGCAACGGAAGGTTTTTATTTTTGAGCATAATTCTATTGATTGTTTTCTGAAAGACATTTGCGCTTTTCATTATAAAGATTAAACAAAAGAGAACTTTCATACATTCGGTACGTCATTTAAAACATAAAATGAAAGCTACTTCGCATGTGGAGAATTCGGCCTTTTCTATTTGGGTCCAAAATACGTTGGAATTTTAGACCTAAACCCAAAGACCACCGCTGCCGAGGCGACCGCTGCTTCCCGGCCGCTCCCCCCCCTCCCTCCCCGACGAATCTGATGGATCTCCCCTCCAAGCCTCGCTGTTCGAGTCCTCTCGGTCGCTTCATCTCTTCTCCGATCTCGATCCCTCTCCTTATCCTATTGGTGAGCTCTCGATCGACTACGCTCTTTTTTTTTTTTCCCCCCCTGCATCTTTGGTCGTGAAGGAGCCCTAGATCACGTACTCCTACTTTGCGATCTTAGTTTTCGTTCTTTTCTTTTTTGATTGAGCCCAGTGTTCTTCTTGTGGTGTTAGTTTAGGGTTTGTTACTGATCTTTTATTATGTAAAAGAATAACGTGCTTGTATGAGATATAAGGAGCTGGTTTGCCACATTCATACTTTGGACGTTCATTCTTTCAGTTGTTAGTAGCGGAGGCCCGTGCAGCGCCATGGGAAGCACGTAAAAGTGGGAAATTCTCAGTGTTCTCATTGTTCAACCTCAAAGGGAAGAGTAAATTTTGGAGCGAGTCAGTGATTCGTGGTGGTAAGGACTTAATAACATACCTTGCATTTTTGTCTCTCCCCATCTTATTCTGAACAATTTTCGTGTGAAATAATGACGCCAGATATAGAGGATAGCTTTTACTTTCTCTGTTAAAGCATATGATCATGTTGGTTTATTCTTTGTTGTAGCTAATTATGTTTTATTGATCATTAATGTGTTCGTTCCAATGCATAGTGTGGTCATCAATTATGATTTGCATGCTTAAGGATGTGCCTTAACAATTTCAGATTTTGATGATCTGGAAAGTTCGGTCTCTTCAGAGTCTGGCAAAATTGCAGTGTTGAACTACACAAAGGCAGGTAGTTACTTCATTTTCTCTATTGGTTTTCATCTTTTTATTTGCTACTAATGCTTGCCTATATCATGTGCCATTATGAGCTAATATAGTGAGACAGTCACCTCTTACACGCACCCACCAAGTGTGCTATCCTATCAGAAATGATCTATGATGTTTAAAACATCTGGAAGTTAAAATTTAAGCTATTTTTAAATATTTTATATGGCCATCAAACTAACACAGTAGCTTAAAATTTACGTTATTTGTAAATATTTTAACTGAAGTTTCATTTATTGTTTCGTATTTTCAGGCAATATTGCAAATTATTTAAAGCTTTCGGAGGTTGATTCCATATACCTTCCCATCCCAGTGAACTTCATCTTCATAGGCTTTGAAGGAAAAGGGAACCATGGTATATGATATTTGCCAAGACATTCAACCAACTCTAAACAATTTTTTTTGCCATTGATCAATTAACTGGTACCATGTGCAGAGTTTAAGCTTGGCCCAGAAGAATTGGACCGATGGTTTACCAAAATTGACCACATTTTTGAGCATACACGGGTTCCCCCCATTGGTGAAGTTCTTGCCCCATTTTATAAAATTAGCATTGACAAAGTTCAACGCCATCATCTTCCCCTCGTCAGTCACATAAACTACAAGTGATTTTTTGCTTCTCTTCATACCTTTTCAGTTTGTCTGTAGTCACTGTTTACTTGGCCTTTTTCTTGATATTTTGACCATTGAATGGTACCCATTGATCTTTTTCTATTTTGAATTTATTTATATGTGGATCCAGTTTCACTGTGCATGGCATACTCATGGGAGAACAAGTCACATCCGTCTTTGAGGATGCTGTAAAGGCTCTTTCACGTAAAGATGATCTCTTAGACTCCAGGTACTACTACTACATACATGGCTTCCTCTTTTTATCAGTTGCATTAATTCCTTGAACTTTTTAGTGCTAGTGTATACATAAACATAAATGATAGTAAAAGTGCCTTTGAGACTTCATGATTGACCTTGGCCACAAGCTCTTGTAGGTGGGAGTACATGAATCAATCTACTTGTAGTGTTCGATACTTAGATATGGTGTTTGGACATGCTTGCTGATGATGCCAATTCTTATTAGATGAGCATTGTTTTCAGTATTTGAAACCTGATCTTTTATCTTAAAAAAATTCAGCACGTTGAAACTTATATATAATATGATTTTTTTGATTCTTGGTGGTTTTAATGGTATGAGAATCAAGTACATTCTTCTATTTTGATTATTTTCATGTATGAAATTTGTTAAATTTTTACTAAAGTAAGTTTGTTAAAAGGGGCTTGAAAATGATGATTTGCTACTATGTGCTCGGACTTTTGTTCAGTATGCTTATAATTTTCTTTCATGACCCCCCAGGGAGGACAAAACAAATCTTTGGCAAGTCGACATGGATAGAATGGAATATGTTTTCTCAACTCTTGTTGAATATCTTCAGATCGATAATGCATATAATATTTTCATTCTGAACCCCAAAAAGGATGATAAAAGAATTCAGTATGGTTATAGGTGAGTAATTTTGCATTTATTTAATTTTCTTTTATTAGATGGTTATCATGCTCCGGTTTCATATTTTATGATCCAGCTCCGTAGCTAACAATTCATTTGTGTATTTGTCGTAGGGCTTTCTCTAAGTTTTTCAAACTTCAAACCAACACTATGATAACAACAACTCATCACTTTGTGGTTGGTTATCTTGTTATATTTCATGGGAAGAGAAAGAACAAAACCATCAAAATATTCTAGGTTTTGGCAGACATATTTTGCTGTTACTTGATGTGAATATATCTTATAGGGAGTTCATGTTGCTCTTATAAATCATTGAAGTCCTGATTGAAGTATATATGCCACATTTAGACTTGTTAAAAGTAGAACTTGCTAAACATCAGTGATTTCAATAGGCACTTGGGCGAGGTGAGGCAAGGCCCGAGCGCCTCGCTTCATTTCTAGGTGACGTGCTTCAAAGAGGTGCCACTTGGGCGCTCGCCCAAGGCCAGGTGTCGAGCGCTTCGAGCGAGCGCCCGGGTTAAACCAGGCGATCGAACCATCGTTTTAGGTCTAGTTCGGTCTCTGGTGCTTTAGTTGATTCAATTGAACCAACTAAAGCACCGATATCAACCTTCCTCTCGCAACTTTCCGACCGTAACCCTACTCGTCACTCTCGCTGTCGCTGCTCCTGCTGCCACTGTCGCTGCCGCTGCTCACTGCTACTATTGCCATTGTCATCGCTCGTCGCTCCTACTCCTACTGCTGCTGCTCGCTGCTACCGCTACCACTGTCATCGCTCGCCGCTCCCGCTCCTGCTGCCGCTGCTCTTAGTCAGCAACCTCAATCTTCCTCTTGCTCACACTCTTATCACTTCGATAGTATACTATTAACAGTATATTAATAGTATACTATTAATAGTATATTAATAGTATACTATTAACTGTATACTAGTAACAGTATTTTTATTTGTTAGATTAATAATATATTATTTTGATTTTAATACTATTAATTTTTATTTATTTAAAATTATTGTTATTGTTTTGAATTTTGAGACTTTTTGTTAATGTGATATTGTAATTTTACAAGATTTTCTTAATTTAATATCATATTTTTATTTAAATAATTATATTTATTAATTATATTATATATTTTTATATTTTAATGCTTTGCTTCGCTCGGGCAAGCGCCTAGCGCCTCGGGCGTTTTTGGACCTTGGCGTCTTTTGCCGCCTAGCGCTTTTTAAATCACTGCTAAACATGTATAAGTTCCTATGTAAATATATTTCTATCTTTATAAAAAAAATACTATGGGTTTCATATTGTGTTCACAAAATGCTGCACATGCTGATCTTTGGGATGGGACTTTATGCTGTCTGGTATAATTTATGTGGCATGCAAGGATGAGTCATGCTGCTGGAACTTAGTTCCATGTGTTATGAATTTGAATAGCAGGTACACCAAATCAACTAGTAACTTCTGTTCATTATCTTCTTTCACATCTTTTTCATTATCTGTGTATTGAATAATTATATCTGCATCGCAAATATTTATACCTTTTGTTTATATAGTTATTGATTCTTGAAATGTTTTAAACCAATTTGATGGTTTTCAAGTTAGGTTGGTTTTAATAATTGAGGAGGATGCTTCTAAACCGTGTAGTATACTGTGCCCTCTCCGTGATTCAACCTGTGAAATGTTCTTACTTAATTCGTAGAAGCCTTTTGTTTTTTGCAGGAGAGGCTTGTCCGAGTCGGAGATCAAAATTCTTAAGGAGGTATAATGGGTAATTTTTTGTGTGTTTGCTATAGGCATCATATTCCAACATTGTTATATGTACAATATTTTTACCATAAGGATGCCACATTATTTTTTATTCTGTTTTCACATTTAACGACACATTTTGCCTATACTTTTCTGGATGCTGTGCAAATGGCTAATGCATGTCAATGCATGAATGACACAAATAATGTTACATAATGGCTATTTTGATTCAATTTACCTTATACTGTTTGTTCTCTTGAAGTAGGTGAATCTTATGCTGTATTTTTTTACTAGAATTTTCTGCTGAAATAAATTTTCATG